CCGCTGTTCCATAAGGTGTATTTTCTATCTGTTTTTTGTTTTGTTTTTATCAAATTTGACTGCTTGCATGAGTTACTTGATGTGGAATAGAGTTCCATGTAGTCATGGCTCTATGTAGTACTGTGTGCCTCCCATAGTCTGTTCTGGACTTGGGGACTGTGAAGAGACCTCTGGTGGCATGTCTTGTGGGGAATGCATGGGTGACCGAGCTGTGGGCCAGTCGTTCAAACAGACAGCTCAGTGCATTCAACATGTCAATACCTCTCACAAATACAAGTATTGATTAAATCAATCTCTCCTCCATTTTGAGCCAGGAGAGATTGACATGCATATTATTAATGTTAGCTCTCTGTGTACATCCAAGGGCCAGCCGTGCTGCCCTGTTCTGAGCCAATTGCAATTTTCCCAATTCCCTCTTTGTGGCACCTGACCACACGACTGAACAGTAGTCCAGGTGTGACAAAACTAGGGCCTGTAGGACCTGCCTTGTTGATAGTGCTGTTAAGAAGGCAGAGCAGCGCTTTATTATGGACAGACTTCTCCCCATCTCAGCTACTGTTGTATCAATATGTTTTGACCATGACAGTTTACAATCCAGGGTTACTCCAAGAAGCTCAGCCCGGCGGAGCAGAACTACGACGTTGGTGATCGGGAGCTGTTGGATGTTGTCCGAGCCCTGACAGTGTGGAGGCACTGGCTCGAGGGGGCGAAACACCCTTTCCTCGTCTGGACTGACCATCGTAACGTGGAGTACATCTGGGCAGCGAGGAGGCTGAACCCTCGCCAGGCCAGGTGGGCCCTATTCTTCACCCGGTTTGAGTTTACTCTGTCATAAATCCCGGGTACAAAGAATGTGAAGGCAGACGCGCTGTCACGGCTGTATGACACAGAGGAGAGGCCCATAGACAACACCCCCATATTCTCAGCCTCCTGCATTGTGGTGCTGGTAGTATGGGCGATGGACACGAACATAGAGCGGGCGGTACGCACAGAGCCATCTCCACCTCAGTGTCCAGCTGGGCTGCAGTACGTGCCGTCTCTTGTCCGTGACCGTCTGATCTACTGGGCGCACACATCACCCTCCTCTGGTCACCCAGGTATCGGTTGTACAGTGCGCTGCCTGACCGGAAAGTACAGGTGGCCTACCTTGGCTAAGGACGTGAGGGTGTATGTCTCCTCCTGCTCGGTGTGCGCCCAGAGTAAGGCACCTAGGCACCTCCCAGCGGGTAAGTTACAGCCCTTACCAGTTCCACAACGGCCATGGTCCCACCTGTATATTGACTTTCTAACTGATCTTCCCCTCTCTCAGGGAAACACCACCATCCTGGTCATTGTGGACCGCTTTTCAAAAGCCTGCCGCCTCCTTCCTCTGCCCGGTCTCCCCACGGCCCTGCAGACTGCGGAGGCCCTGTTTACTCACGTCTTCCGGCGCTACAGGGTGCCAGAGGACATAGTGTCTGACCGGGGTCCCCAGTTCATATCCAGGGTCTGGAAGGCGTTCATGGAACGTCTCGGGGTCTCGGTCAGCCTGACCTCTGGGTTTCACCCCGGAGTCTAATGGGCAGGTGGAACGGGTGAATCAGGATATGGGTAGGTTCCTGCGGTCCTACTGCCAGGACCGGCCGGGGGAGTGGTCGGTGTTCTTGCCATGGGCATAATATGCCCAGAACTCTCTTCGCCACTCCTTCACTAATCTAGCTCCCTTTCAATGTGTCTTAGGTTATCAGCCGGTTCTGGCACTGTGGCATCAGAGCCAGACCGAAGTTCCTGCGGTGGATGACTGGTTTCTCGCAGGCGGAGGAGACGTGGAATGTTGCCAGAAGGCCAACGCTGACCACCACCGCAGTGAGGCCCCTGTTTTTGTACCGGGTGATCGGGTCTGGCTCTCAACCCAGAATCTGCCCCTCCGCCTGCCCTGCCGGAAGCTGGGCCCGCGGTTTGTGGGGTCGTTCAAAGTCCTGAGGAGAATCAACGAGGTTACATATAGGTTACTCCCTCCCGATTACCATATTAACTCCTCGTTTCATGTGTCTCTCCTCAGGCCGGAGGTGGCTGGTCCGCTCCAGGAGTCTGAGGTGCGGGAGGTCCCTCCGCCCCCTCTGGACATCGAGGGGGCCCTGGCGTAATCCGTCTGTTCCTTCCTGGATTCGAGGCGTCAGGTGGGGGGCCTTCAGTACCTCGTGGATTGGGAGGGGTACAGTCCGGAGGAGCGGTGTTGGGTCCCGGTGAGGGATATCCTCGATCCCTCCCTGTTGCAGGATTTCCACCGTCGCCATCCGGCTCGCCCTGCTCCGCGTTTTCCTGGCCGTCCCCGAGGCCGGGGTCGGCGCTCTGCTGGAGCTGCGCGTCAAGGGGCGGGGGTTACTGTCACAACTTCCTCGGAAGCTGCCTCCTCTCCTTGTTCGGGCATGCTTCGGTGTTCGTCGTCACCGGTCTTCTGGCCACTGCCGCTCCTCATCTCATCATTCCATTTTTTTGTCTTGTTTATTACACACACCTGGTTCATATCCCCCTCATCAGTACATGTATAAGTGTTCCCTCTGCCCCCTTGTCTTTGTGTGTGATTGTTTATTGTGGAGGTTAGTGTAGCTCGGTGGAGCTCTTGTATTTTGTATCGCCGGGATATTTCACCCGTGTGCCTTGTTGTTTCCAGTGCGCTGTATATTTCAGCACTGAAGAGTTTTACGCATTGCTGTGTACCGCTGTGTCAACGGAATAAACCTGTTATTCTGTGATTTACCCTCCTGCGCCTGACTCCTTCAAATCACATCACCACAATTTGCGGTATGTTTGCCAATCGGTTTTGCAGCCAGACTTATTTGCAATTCCTTTTGCCTCATCCCTCTCAACCATACCATTTTTCAATTCCTCATCAATCCACAGGGATTTAACAGTTTTTACAGTCATTTTCTTAATGGTGCATGCTTATCAGTAACTGGGATAAGCAATTTCATAAATGTGTCAAGTGCAGCGTTTGGTTGCACTTGAAATTAGTGGATTCGGCTATTTCAGCCACACCCGTTGCTGTTAAGTGTATCAAATCGAGCACACAGCCATGCAATCTCAATAGACAAACATTGGCAGTAGAATGGCCTTACTGAAGAGCTCAGTGACTTTCAGCGTGGCACAGTCATAGGATGCCACCTTTCCAACAAGTCAGTTTGTCAACTTTCTGCACTGTTAGAGCTGCCACGGTCAACTGTAAATGCTGTTATGTGGAAACGTCTAGGAGCAACAACAGCTCAGCCGTGAAGTGGTAGGCCACACAAGCTCACAGAACGGGACCGCCGAGTGCTGAAGCGCGTACACATCGTGTGTCCTCGGTTGCAACACTCACTACCGAGTTCCAAACTGCCTCTGTAAGTGCGGATATTGTGAAGTGGAAACGTCTAGGAGCAACAACGGTTCAGCTGCGAAGTGGTAGGCCACACAAGCTCACAGAACGGGACCGCCGCCGAGTGCTGAGTTCAAAACTTTCTCTGGCATTAACATCAGCACAAGAACTGTTTCATCGGGAGCTTCATGAAATGGGTTTCCATGGCCGAGCAGCCTCACACAAGCCTAAGATCACCATGCGCAATGCCAATGTCGGCTGGAGTGGTGTAAAGCTCACCGCCATTGGACTCTGGAGCAGTGGAAACACGTTCTCTGGAGTGATGAATCACGCTTCACCATCTGGCAGTCCGACGGACGAATCTGGGTTTAGCGGATGCCAGGAGAACGCTACCTGCCCGAATGCATACTGCCAACTGTAAAGTTTGGCGGAGGAGGAATAATAGTCTGGATCTGTTTTTCATGGTTCGGGCTAGGGCCCCTTAGTTCCAGTGAAGGGAAATCTTAATGCTACAGTATACAATGATATTCTAGACGATTCTGTGCTTCCAACTTTGTGGCAATAGTTTGGGGAAGGCCCTTTCCTGTTTCAGCATGACAATGCCCCCGTGCACAAAGCGAGGT